CACTCACACACAGCATGTCTGTGCATGCCCACAATCCCCCTCATGTGCAGCGGATCCCTGCGCATGAGCGTGCATCTCCCATACACCCCCCTCCGCCTCCTGCGCATGAGCACCAGATACTCGACAATCAACTGTCAGGCAGTGGCACGCACATGCATTTACAGTGGGGCTCTTCCAGGCGACCTTTCACGTGCTGGGGAAAATGGCTCTGCATGCCATTTCTGGCACGCATGGCATAGGTTCGCCAACACATCCCTATATCACTCTGGATAAATGGCTGCCCCATCTCTTTGAAAAGCATCCATTGATGAGACACCCACAACTTCTGAAGGCAACCCATTCCACTGGTTGATCGTTCTCACCATTGGGGAATTTCTCTTTAGTTTTAGGTTATCTTACTCTTTGATTAGTTTCCATCCATTGTTTCTTGTCTTGCCTAGTTTGCTTTGGAAAACAGTTTGATTTCCTCATCTTTGTGGCAGCCCAAATGTGTAAAGTAGCAATAAATCAAAATAAAATGGAAATGAAATGCCAAATGGCCTAATCATCAAGAGACATAAAGATGAAACCTACAATAACAGATTTTTAGTGCCATTCAAGTTGTTTTTTAATATGGCACCAATAACTTTCTAGACCCTATATATCAGAGACAAATTGGGCTCTAAGGATGTAACATTGTTCATTAGCTTCAGATGGCCAGCCTCATCATAAAAGAGCACACAGTGTTTCTCAGCACTGAAACTGAGTATCCAACCTCAAGTTTAGTTTCCATAAGAAATTATAATATATTACCCTGTTTCCATAAAAAAGATGTTTGAGAATTTCACAAGTAAACTGTAAAGTATTACCACAAAGCTTCTGTCTTTAGACTGACTCCTTAGAAAGTTGTAACTGTAGTTCCAGTGCTCCCATCTAGCACTGCCATCAAATGATAGGAAATTATAGGAATTATACCAAATAGGCATTATTCCCATCTTTTTTCATCATGAGAAATAACAAGCCACTGCCTACCACAGAATTAAAGAAATAGTCTATCCACTACAAAATTAAAGACAATAGTGAACAACCAAAGACAGATTAATTGTGATAGGATACAAATGAAATAAATAAAGCTTGTTGTCTTTCATGACAATGTGTACAACTACTATCACCTGGAAAACCTACTTTAAATATTTTTACTGAACCACTTCTTGCATTTGGCAAGGAAAATTCAGCAATACACACAGGACCATACATCCTGAATATTCTCCCACAAAAGTATCCATAATTCTTATTCTCTGAAGAAAAAATAGGTTTTCTTCCTTTAGCTATTAGTCACAGGCTAAAATGACACCAAAATGGCAAGTGCTATTGTCATGCCCCTGATGGAGACTGACTCTGAGGGAGAATGTCAGCCTCAAGATATCTTCCTAATAAATATATTCTGTCTTCTAACTGTTGCTTCTCTGCTGCTATGCCAATTTACTTCTTTCGGCTGTCATGAAATGGTGGGAGAGGGGAATCTTGGAGGGGAAGAAGGCAGGAGGTGTTTTGCATTCCTTTGCTGGGTTAGCAAGGGGAGGGGGATTCCTTTCTTTAACTTTCCGTTTCTTTGCTAGCCTCTGTCCCTTTTTGCGCAACTGCGAACTTTTATCAAAATATTTCAAGGTCAACTGACAGTAGCCTCATCACCACCTGGAGATGACCACATGATCATATTCAGAAGTTTTAATTGGAAGAATCATTTGAACTTTGGAAGGTGGGAGCAATTCTATTCCTTTGTATATGTGTTCTACCCGCCAATTTCTCAGTTTCGGAATTGGCTCTGTCGTTTCCACTTTATTTTCCAGTAAAAGGATAACTTTGCTCTACACTATGCAGTCTGAGTATTTCTTTCTTGGGATTTAAAGGGAGCACAGACTGACAGAGAGGAGGAACAGCTGACAGGGAGTGGAAATGTGGCTCCAGAAGTTGTGGAGGAGGCTGGGGAAGGGCAGAGGCTGGCTGAGCAGTCAGAGAAGGATCCAAGCCCATCCCCTCTCCATCCTAGGGCACACAGGGAGGAGAGGATAAGGGAGAGACGTGGTCTACTTGGGAAGAGAGAGCCTTGATCCTCTTGATGGGCTGCAGCTGTGACAACTGAATAAGAGGACAGACATGCGTATAGGTGAACGCTGGAAACAAAGCATGGAGATATATCTAGTTTATGGTTCCTCTCTGAGTTTGGCGTCCTTCCCAGTGTGTGTTCTGTTATCTGTGAACGTCCTCCAGTCCTTATCTTGCCTGGTTTGTGTTGTTTTTTCCCTCCTTCTTGTAACTGCTTGTGTGGGAGTTTTCTGTCTTCTGTCAAGGATATTTGGAACTTGGAAGCAAAGTGAAGGAATAAAAGGGGCTTCACCGGGATTATGATATAATTTACACCTTAATATCATACAAAGCTACAAAGCTTCCTTTCTCAAATCATTTTACTTGCAGTCTTTTCTAATAACACCTTTGTATTAACAGATGTTCAGGTTCTCAGTATTAGGAACAAGAGGCAAAGGAGAATTCAAAAAAGCGCTAAGTGTTTTCCCTTAATCATAAACTGGAGTATTCTGTTTTGTCTTCATTTTTCCTTTAACTGCCTGCCAGAAGAGGCAACAACTTCCCATCTGGATTTATCCTGATGCTTCAGGAATAAACCTGGGTCTACAGCATTCCATATTCCACTTGGGGGACGGAATGGATTTTGTAATAAAAATGTCACAATAACTGAACCAAGCAAAAAGCCAGCACCCTAGAGAGATTGTGTTTAATCATTCTCTACTGCCAGATGTCAAGAATGTTTCCTGGTTGCCATCAGATTCTTGCTGACATTTGTTCAGACACATGGTGCTCAAAAGATATCAGTGTGTGTGTGTATGTGTGTGTGTTTGCATGCATGTGTCTGCATATGTAAAAAATTATGGAGAAGGAAGTTCTGGCTTTACCAACTGATATTTGATAAACTCCTGGGTAAAGAGATATTGAAAAAACAGTAAGCTCGACAATTCTGTTAAAGCTTGATAAAAATGCTGCCGATCTTCCAAACTGCAATGAGCAAATCAACACTTCCTTGTTAATCATGTCAAGAGAAATAAGATGTGGCTCTTAGTTTGCCTTAGGTGGTGAAACGATCTTGCTCGGCTAGGCTGGAGAAATCTGAGAATAAACAACTTCATCACACTCAGAAGTATCTGCTTCTTGGGGCCAAGCAAAGATTCTACACACAAACCTAACTGTCCCACTGGTAACACAGACCTGCCCTCTCTAATATTTGCAAAAAGTAAACCAAGCTCTGCCCTGCATTTTTACTTGTCTGCATTATTTGGTACTAAATGAGCTTGATCCTGCCACCAATGTTGCTCCGAGTATTGCTGCTAGTTCTTCCCACTATTTATAGACTGTTAGGACCTGTTAACTGAGGGAGAGAATCAGTTTTTAGTTCTTAAGATCTAGTTAGATATAATTATCACAGGAACTTCCTCATGCATAAGCAAGCGCATTATTGTGTACATCTGATATGTATCTTCTATAGTCTGGGAATAAATGTATTGCATTTCATTTGTGTTACGTAACTATTATAAATTGTTCAGATCATAGCTACATTTGTAAAGCTTACCTTGATTTATTTTTATTTTATTTTATTTTATTGACATAGAATGCAAAAATAAACTTAAATCAAGAATATCTGAAATAGGATTTCAAGAAATAGTTCACATATCTCTAATTTTAACAGAACATCCTTTGATACTTCAGTATTCCTAGATCTGAAGTTAAAAACGTCTTAACCAAAATTTGTCAGAACAGAACCTACAAAAACGTTTTGTACTACTTGTTTTATATAAAATTGTTTCAATACATGTTTAGAATAAATATCTTCTAAAAGCCAGTGTGGAATAAGATATCATGAATCAAATTTCAGATCAACCTATAAAGGTAGCCCATAATTCAGTTGCATTCTTTCAGGCTAGCCTACCTCAAGAAGCATCTTGGGGGGGGAAAGTATTTTGACACAGGTTTATTATTTTGAGATCTTTGAAAGAAGGGAATATCCAAGGGTTTTATTTTCCCAAGTGGATATCAACAGTAGAACTATCATACACGAGTTTCTCTTTTCTGTATGTAATATAAGAATTATTTATCAGATTAAAATTCACAGATGCACACTTTAGATCATGGCCATTGCAACCTCTTTGTATCATTTTATAATGACTAAAAATCTACAGTTCTTTAAAGAAATCCAGTTTTTTAAAAAAATACAAAAATAACTATTCTAATTAAAATAGAATTAAAATAGAATAGGTGAGATCCAAAGCAACAGGAATCATGTTTATAACCTTTGAATGATCAAAACTATTTTATCCTAAAAATAATAATTAGAGTAATATCAACAGTCAGTCAAATGAGAAGAAAAATTGATCTTTATGGGCTGCCATAAAAATGACCAGCACCAGTGCTTAACCCAAAATCTCTTACATATTATGATACTTTGTCTAGTCTCTTCAAAGAGAATTTTCACATTCCTCCAAAGTAGATTTTCCAACCAGTTTGTCAATATAGATGTACCAACAGGCAGATTATCAGAAAGGTTTAAAAAAAGGGGACCAAGTTGACACAGTTTTGTCTGGGTGATAACTTTATTGAGGTACCGAATTGCAAATTCCAGGTGGAAATGACCTCAGTGAGATCATTTATGCAATATATTAGTAGGATCTCCATCTACTTAAAAGAACTCGTTGCGGCCACAATTTAATTTGTATGTTCCTAAGCTCCCAACTCTCCTTTTTTTTTTTTTTTTTACAAAGTTTCCATTCTATATTGACTATCCTAATAAGCAGTGATTAAAAAGAAGCAGTTGTGTCTGGGAGGAACAGGCTGTCCCATCAAGTATGTCACTTTTTTCTCATCAAATATATGATTATTTTATATGCATCATTCAGACCATGTCCAGGATTTAAAATTCACACCCATAATATAATTTTTAAAACAGGTTCACTTACCAATTTCCCTAGAGATTTGAGTGAAAGCTTCTACACCACTTTCCCCATAGTTCCCTTCTGATGCCAGTGTTGACACATAGTTCCATCCAAGTGCTGTCACAATGTCAACCATAGCTTGGGCTTGATAGGAGTCTGGTGGGACCACACGAGAGAAAAAATCATACCTGGTGTTATCACTCAGTTCTGGAGCTGTAGATGCATAGCTGATTTGAGGTATCTGCAAAGAACCAGCATGAGAAACATATTACAAAAACCTCAAGGATGACTTGTAAACATAATAATGATTCAAAAAAGGGCCCTTCTAATAAAAGATTTTGTAACAGTTTTGGGCTCTTCTTTTTAGCATACACTCAAGCAGAGGCTGGACAGGCATCTGTTAAACATGAGACATTGGGTTCCCACGAGAAACAAAGAATGGGGCTCGATGGCTTAAAAAGCTCTTTACAGCACTATACTTCTATGTTTTTATGAATTATAGAAACCATGATTCTATGAAAAAGTGCTTATTTCTTAAATTTGTAAACAATGATACGGCGTTTACAAAGCAACAGCTTTAGATAAGAAATATATGATTTCCCAGTTATCACAGATACATATAAGACTGGAACAAATGTGACAGGAAAGTAGACTATAATGTCAAGGCCAAGTCATAAATGGTAAATTGGTCTCATTTTTCTTCTTTTTATGAACCTTTAATTCCTTTATTTGGGGAACAACTGAGTGAAGTTAACTGTTTACTGGCCAGATACCCTTCCTGATGTCTACACAGAGTTCGCAGTAGATATTTTCTCTTTGCAACCTGAGAGAGAAACATCTGTCATTGCCTAGGATTGAACTCTCAGTCTTCCAAGTGGGAGGCGAGAATCTTCACCTCTAGGTCACCACGACACTCCATTAAACTATGAATATCACAGTTAAATCTGGTTTCAATTTTTGTTCATTTTAAATAGCCCATTTTTGTTCATTTTGTTCACTCGCAGCAAAAGCATAATTATTTGACTTACTGAAAGAGAATCCTTCTCTTGACTCAGTTGCCCAGGAAAAAGTAAGTATTATTTTCTATCAGTAGTGCAACTGTTTTTATATTTTTATACATTTAAGTCAACTGTGATTAACAGATTGGCTCATATTTATTTATTTAATTTGTACAGTAGGCAATCTCATCAACTGACTCTGCAGTGAACAAAATTTACAAAATAAAAACAATTAAAATAACACAAATAGTAGAACATTAAACATTTCCTGGATTTCTACTTAAAAATATTCCTTATCAAAGTAGTCAATCACTACATAGGCCATCACTGCATATTTTCCAATAAACTTTCTCAGCAGAGTTTAGCTGATGACATTAGGAAGCAATGATAAAATGCAAATTTATTCAACAGGAAATAATTTCAGTTTGAAAAAAAGAATTGGTGTAATCTTGATTTCACTCTATTTGCTTCTCAGACTTTTCCTTTTCTTCTGTCCTTTCCTTTCCCTTACCTCTTTCTTCCTTCTTCCCTTACTCATCTTTCTTCCCCCCTTCCTCCATCCCTCCTTCCTTCCTTCCTTCCTTTTGCCTTATGTGGCTTTATGTTGATCTTGTTGTCCGAATTTTTAGGGTTTATTCAGAATATATTCCTTGTTTATACAGTTAATGAATCAAATGTAAGCACAACCGATAGCAACACAAACTGCTGAAGCAGTAACTAGTTAGCAGGCAATAAATTTGCATGTACAAAAGTTAGAAAATATGCATTTCAATACTAACAAATTAGAACATTGTCACTCTAGGGAATCATAAGAAACGGCTTTTCAAATTGGACAAGGCAAAAAGCATATTTTACATGGGTAAACAGACACTAATTATCAGCATTATTATTTCTTAAAGGCCATCAAGGTTTGTTCTTTGCAACAAGTTGAAATTAAAATACAATGTTTTATTAATTTCTAATTATTCTGATAGAGGAAGAATTGACAACATATTATTCTACTGAATTACAAATAAAGAGCTGTAACATACAAGCCAAGAAATTTGGTCAAATACATGTTACAGAAAAAGCTATTAAAAGACAATAACATTTTTATCACATTTCATGAGGATATTTTTTGACAGACAAATACAATTTGCAGATCTCATTATCTAAATGTCAAGAATTTAGATAGTAGGTTTAAAAAGCTCTCCATCTCACATGTTTGTGGGACCTTTTTTTTTAGTTTACGGAATATAACACTTTCTAAACAGAACAGGTGCTGTAGTCAATCAATCCAATAATAAACATATACACACAATATTCACTTAATTCAATCTACATGTACATAGTAGATTTTAACGCTGTGCTAAAGTATATATTGATACTAAATGTATTCTATTACCATCTTATTAATTATTCATTTGTAAAAATCGAAATGCAGTAATACTGTGCAGAACATTATAGGATACAAGCAGGACATCACTCAAATGAATGTAATTCTTTTTTCTTCTTTGCAAACCAAGATATTTTGCACCCTGAGCTGGAAGAAGAAAATTATTTTGGCATATAACACTAACATCCTCAGAAAAAGCAACCCAAAGGAAAATACAATAATAATAAATTAAGTATCAAACAATCTGTTGCCCTTTCATAACACCAAAATCTGTTTGCTGAAGTATTTGTTTCTTGCTTAATGTTGGGCCAACTTTGTCTGTTCCTACAGCTTTTTCATGCCATTTAATAGCAATGAAATTCTATCAACTATATTTCAGTCAAGTACAAACCGGTTTAGATCAAGGCGACAAAAATCTATTTGAAGATTTATGGTACAATAGGCCTATAGCAGCATTTTGATACACTATTTTCCTCTTCTCAGAAACTTGTAATAATTTATAATACATCTTGTTAGGAATGTTTCCTGGTATTTTTTTCCTTTCTTTGATGTGCGGTAGGTATCACCTTAAAAGTCCTTAGAGACTTAATCTTTCGTGATTTGAAACATGTTTAATAATTTCTAGAGAGAGTTGGACAATTTTTTTTCACCTAGTAAGGGAAAGTCAAGCATTTGAGACCTGAGGCAGAGAAAACTTTTTCACAAAGCAAAGTTTTTTTTTAAAAAAGTATCCAACTTATATGCCAGGGCTCTGGTAGTTATAATTGTAATAATTATTATAATTATATAATTATCATTATTATAATTATTAGCGTTTCAAGAAGTTTAAGTAACAATGGTATTCTATAGTCTCAGTGCTTGGAAAAGTGATCAGCAGTACTGATTACCTATCAGGTTCAGGTTATACTCCAAAATGAAGAATTATCCTGTGAAAAAAGTCTTTAACATGTGACAGGGTATGTTTTTTTCTTGCATTTCCTCATCACATAGTTGAACATAATTTTCCACAAAGTAGAAAAATACATAGATGGTTATATTCATAATCTCCTTCATGAAAAATAGCTAGGTAAATAAGTAGGTAGGTAGATCAAAACACAGAGTTATTTCAGTTATCAATATTCCTAAACAGCATGACCATCTATGATACAAAATCTTGTACCTCATAATTATTTCCTTATCATATAACCTTTTAAAGGATTAGCACAGTACCAAATATTCCAAACTTTTAATATTTTGTTTTCTATTTGGAAGTTGAAATCATAAAGCTATAGAATAGTACAAAAGAAATCAGCATTGTATTTCTAATCCTTTAACATTCAATTGATATTCAACAACCAGAAATTTCCCTTCACTAAAACTTCAGATATTAAATTTCTAATTGTTAAAAAATATTAAAATTAGAAAAAAACATACATTTGTCAGGGTTCCAGGTAACAGACCCAAGGCAATCAAAACTCTGAGGCCTGGAGTTTCCTCAAAATATAAATTTATTAGGCACATCTGGAGAAAATCTGACTTTGAAGGACCCAAGGTTTTCCCCACCCAAATCAAAACCCCAAAATTCTTTTTTCCCCGGTCACACATCCATCACATGGTCTAATCAGGTCACAGCCCCAATTCTGGCTGGCTTTTGTCCATGCTTCTCCAACACCTGGTAGAGTCCTTGGCTCCCACAGGAAAGAATGTTATTTTGGCTACACATCCCCCAGCTATCTCTATCTCCCTTCTCAAGTCTCCACAACTTCAACCGGCCTTGCTGCAGCACCCCTGAAGATGACCCCAGGTGGCTTCAGAGCTGACAACATTGCTTGAAGATCCCTCACTGCTATGGCATAATTATTATGAAATGTTGATTATTACCACTAGCCATAACTATGGGTTTAGATTATTGTTTTTTGTGTGTTTCCTATTCTCCATACTGTTTACAACCAGGGTATAGGTTACAGAAGAGATAATGACTAGTATTTCCTCAGCTTGGGGCTGAACGGATTGTAACAGATAGCTTAGGAAACATTCCTTTCTGAACATGGAGAGCAATATTACCAGGTAAAAGAATGTATTTGCTATTTTAATTTCTTTTAGAAAAGACCGTCTGATGGCTTTCCATATCCCCAATATAAAGGTTGATTTTAACATCCAAAATGTACAAAGAAAAATACTTCATTATAAATGTTGGTCAAGGTGTAAGCAAAAATATTATTACATTTATTTCAAAATATTTGGGGCCAAGCAATGCCAAAAGACACAGTGTGGGTTATGGAAATAAGAACAGGTGGGAGTAAATTGCAATTGGCATTCTTTTTAAAATAAATCTTATTTATTTGGTATAAAATGTATATGTCATGAATTCATCTCCAGACAGAAATGTAGAAAGAAATGAAAAAGATAAAAAGCCAAAGGATTACACCCATTCAAAATGCAGTAGGGAAAAACAGCACACAATATGAAAAAAGTGTCACACTCTGGATGAGGAGGAGGAGGAGGAAGAGGAAGAGGAGGAGGAGGAGGAGGTACCCATTCAATCACGTCTGATTCTCAGCAATTCTATGGATTAATTCTCAACACATTGTTCTATCTTTTATAGCTTTTTTCAGATGATCCATGCCCTTGTTTGTGTAGCTTTGATGGTGTCTAATCACCATGTTTTCAGGCAGACCCATTTCCTTTCATCACTGACCATTACAAGCAGAACAGTTGGAACAAGTTAATTTTGTTCCTGTCCAGTTTCTCACGATCCAACTTTTAAACCAAAGGTAGCTATGGGAGATATTATACTATGAACTAATCTGCATTTACTGGCAAGGCTGCTGTCCTTGCTTTTCCATACATGGTTCATACTGTGTGACCAGTGCAATTCAATGATTTATT